AACAGCCTATGCCTGGAGTCAGTCCCAGCTATTGGGTATCACTTGTCACGAGGGAATACGGTGCTGCGGTAAATAACGTGCTCACATCACTTATCATAACAAAGCGGTGGAACAAAGAGAGTATTTCACTCGGTGTCTTGTCCTGCCAGCTAAGCCTTTCGAAGAACGTTAGACTATTCCAGACACCACCTGCGCGCTTCTGGTGAACAAACCTCTCGAGCTGTTTGTAACAGCGTCCCATCCATCAGTTTCAGGGAAAACCGACCTGTATACTCCCCGCGAGGGGTCAGTTTGTTTCCTTGCTCCTGCATGCTTGACTTTTTGTTCTTTGGCATGGAGTTCTTTTATCGCTGAGAGGCACCACAAAACTGACGTCTCGCCATTTTTGATCGCATTTTAAAGTATTTATGGGAAGTCAATTACGGATCCCGCCGGAAACCATCGACATATATTACGAGATTGACATATAACCGTTTAAGCTTGGTCCCAATTTAAAGAAGAGGAGACTGAGCCGCGGAGTCTTGAACCCGTATCGATTAAAATTGTTTTGTTTTCGGTTATAATAAAATGCGAAAGGCAAACAAACGTCTGATCACACATCGAGCCAATCTGCGCTTAATTTACGTTAGTGTCGCAACCTTTGTACAGCTGTAACAATTTGAAATTTGGTTTCATTTTTCGATAGATGACAGCTTTGCTCTCTATCTTTCTCTCTCTCTCTCTCTCTCTCTCTCTCTTAACTGTACTTCCATTGTGCATTTGATGCGTTGAAGCAATAACACGTGTTGATTGTGACTAGGACTGACGATAGCGCAATTTAAATATTTGATATAAAAAAGTACACTAAAAACGCCAGATTTTGAAAACAGCCAACGTGTACACACTTAATAAACATTGATATGACCATAACGTAAAAATATCTAGTTATCACATACGAAAAAAGAAGCTGACTGTTCAATGAAGGTGCATCTGAAAACAAAAACAGCAACAGAAACAAAACAGCGATAAACACAAATACAGTGAAAGGAAAAGCAAGGCCAGTACACAAAACACTAAAATGTAACAAACTATTTTGATTGTGGTTAGGGTAACTTGTAGGAACAAACAGAAACTAGATACCAAACGATATGGTTTGTGCTGGAAAAAGTCAAATTTGGCACACTGTAACAGTCCGCAAAGCGCTTCTTCAGTGCCTAAACACACTGACAATGTGTCTTTTATAAACTCGGCACCTTGCGAAGATTTTGCGTGAATATTGTGAACCGTTGCATTCGTGATGGGTGTGGAGGTTTGTTTTATAACTATAGTTGTGACTTATCGAATGAGGTAAATAACGTAAACGTAGTAAAGAAAAAAATAAAAAGCTCAAAATCATAAGCTTCTATTTTCGCTTTACCTTGGTAAATTATTGCTTCACCGATTATAACCGCATAACCTTAAGGCTGAACCACATGTAAGCGATTTAGTTAGCTACGAGACGAGCGACGGCGACAAGCGACGAGAGTCAGCGACGAGCGACGGAGATGTCTCACTGTCGCTCGTCGCGTCGCTCGGTTCTGGATTTCTTGAAAACTTCGCTCATTACCCGGAAATGGCTGAAGTGAATAGTCAATAGCGCGAAACGTTCCGTTTTACTTCATTTCCGGTTCGTGCGCGCAGCAACTTTGCGCGCTCGACAGCACGGCTGTTCTCGGTTGCGTGTTGTTGAGAAGCTTCGTTTGATCACCGGCTACGATGGGTAATGACCCCGACGACAAGTACCGCTTCAGTGGACGCCTCATCGATGAGGTGGAGCGAGAGCGGATCCTTTGGGACATGTCCCACGCCAAGTACAAAGCACATAATTTAAAAGCTATTGCGCGCAGCCGGATCGCAGTGGCCGTCGAACGGCGAGGGAAAATGAAATCGTTTCTAAAAAACAATGCTTACTGCGTTCCATTGAATGAGAAATGCGCCTACAGAATAGTGCGCTTCTTTTAATGTTATTTTTGCATGCAGCCAGATTTGGAGTTGACGAGCCATGCGCAGCCGGGCATCACTGAAAACTGGTCGCTTGCTCACGTCGCTTTCATGCGGTTTGCTTCCTCGCGCTACTGACCGAGCGACAGCGGGTCCTCGCCGCCGTTGCTTGTCTCGTCGGTCGCCAAATCGCTTACATGCGGTTGATACTTTAAGGACAGAATCTGTCAGTAATGCTGCCATTTTAAATTAAAAAAAAATTAAGTAATGTAATAAATTTGAAAACAAAATAATACAAAATGAGCCTGCTTCCTTCTTTGTCGTATTCGTGAAGATGTGCGAGCGAACTACAATTGGTCAAAGGTGCTTCTTGCCTCAATCATCGCCATTTGAAGGCTTGGCTAGCTTTATTTTTCCCCATTAAGCTACTGTGATACTTTGGTTATTGTATATAGGAAATAATACAAAGAGTTTTTTTTTGTTATTTCGCTAAGCAGCAATAAACGCAAAGTAAAAAAAAAAAAAAAAAAAAGAAGAAGCGCGGTTTACAACGATTTGTCCTGGGGCATTCTTTTAAGTCATGAGTATATGCTGAAAAACAATAGAAATTACGACTTATTTGAGTATAAAAAAAGGTGATAGAGCGCGGCGTCTTTAATTTTTTTCCGTTTCCCCCGCATATCCACAAGTAGAACGACCGAATCAGGAGTGACTTCTTGGCGTATATCTTGTTTTCACGTTTTTAAATCATCAACAACAACAAGAAAGACGTCTACGCAACTTTAGGACATAGCTTTAAGAGATCGGTTCATGTCGAGGCTTTGCAAGGAACCAAAACATGATCGAAAGCCCAATATGCTACAAGCCACTAAGCCATAACGACACTTTTGAGATTGCAGGAAACATGACTAGGCATTCGCAGGGAACAGTGTTCAAGAAGGTGACTTTGAAATATGCAGATGCTGTCGCAAAAATATGTGCACTGATTAATGTAGAACGTTTTGTTTGCGTCAGCGTGCACGCGTAATGCTCGCTCACTGTCGACTTATGGGGTCATTTGAAAATGCGCCGTTCTTACTTCAGATACGTTACTGTCACAGTTTAATAAAATATAATAGCAAAGTTTTAATGATAACGAAAAAAAAAAAGCACAAACCGTTATGAGAAGGAGTTTTTGTTTACTCAAAGTATAAAATAAGACGGGTGGACGTCAGCGACGTAACAGTTTCTAATACTCTCTTTTTTTTTTTAATTAGTGCCGTGATCTAAACTCAGAAAAACAATTTTTTTTTATTAGCTTATCAGCGCACCGAGAAATAAGCAGGAGACGCTTAAAACAGTCTTCTATTATTTTCAATGCAATTGGTTGACAAAAAGAAATCTTGGAAGGGGTAAAAGCACGGCGAAAAACGGGTATACAAAAAAAAAGTGTTTACGGAAAAATATTGTTAGCTACCGTCCCGTTAAAAATATATGTTGCGAATGTGGCTAGAATAATTCTATCTCTATTTTACGTAACATTTATAACGAACCTTAAAATTCAACCTTGGCGGAGAAGAGAGGAAACGAGAGAGAGAGAGAGAGAAAGAAAGAAAGGAAGGAAAAACACGTGGTTCCAACGTAGTTTTTGAGAATGAAAAGCGCCGCTAAGTCGGTGTTACCTCTGACGGCTCTACCGCATGTGCAAGTAACATGTGCACGCTTTGAAAGGTCCAGTCGGGGTACGCCAAATATATGCAGTCTGTGTATCTCAAGGTGTTCCGACGCGGCTATGTCCTAGTAGATAACTCCGGTCATGTGAGGAGTGTATACCCTAGCATTTCACACCATTAAGAAATGAGAAAAGTCAGCTGTAAGGCTAGTAGTAGTGCTTTCACACGTACCTAAATGATTAAGAATTTAGAGTGTAAAATACGAGTGGGAACAGCGTGGGAACTGCGCTCCAATCACCTCGTTTCGCGCTTAGAGTAACGCGTTTGATCGGCATTAAACAATTTACTTTTTTCCTCTTACTTTTGTAGTGTGAAGCAAGCTGACGCAAAACGAGCGAAAGTAACACAAGATGTCCAGCATGTTCCCAGAATACATCATAGACTGGCAGGACTCAATGTCCAGGCATACCATATTTTTCGCATGGAGTTCCTTTGAGTTTCAGGCGCCTCAATATAACTAGTTTTGTCTTAAATATTCGTACATGTCTTGCTATGATTCCGTGGGTGGCTTCATTTGTCAGACTTCTTATTAAAAAAGAGAGAAAGAAAACTAAGTTCACAAAAATGACAGTGTGGCAATCGGTGTGCGATTCTGAAGTGGTTCAACAAGTATGGTTTAAGCCCTCAAGAGGAAACATGTAAGGTAATGGTGATCAAAGTAAACGGAGGCAAAAATAAAAACGAAACAGCAACAACAACCTTGGATGTGAGTTTGAGATCAGCCGTTGCTCTGAAATACGTGAACCTGATGCCTCCAGGACCATGACACGTGATGTACTACAGAACACAGCACATGAAATAAAGGTACGGTTGACATTAAAATACCGTCGAGATTATCGCCGTGCACTGTGTGACGTGAGACTGTAGAACACGTTCGCACCAGTTACAGACATCCAAGGACTTTTGTGAAACGAACACCAATCGATACTGTCTTGACTAAAGGTGCGCCGCAAAACGACATGCATCAACAACCTATGTGCTTGGGCGCCAACACAAGCGGTACACTGAACGAAACGAAGACGCAGATGTTGAGAGCAACACTGAATATCGAGCGAAAACAGAGAGTAGGATACGCGTGGCCGAGACACGTGTGAAGCGGAGTGGCCCGCGTCCAGCTCCGACGCCCTTTGGCGTACACTCGAGGCTACTGTGTGAAGTATGAGGCTGAACGCGTCGAAAGCTGTGAGAGGGACCTCCCTGGAGGGACTTCGCACTGGACACGAACGGAGACGGTACTGGCGCGGCACCGTGGTGCTATGAGCAAGTGGTGACGTGCAAGAAGCGGTGAGGGCGCGACGACGGCAGGGAGGGGGGAACCAGTCTGTCGCCCTAGGGCGACTCGGCGTTCTCGGGAGGCGTGTCATCGAGCACTGTGAGCATGTGGATCTGTTTGATGAGTGAGGAGACGCCGCCTTCCTTGAGCCGGCAGCGGCAGAGGATCCTCTTGAAGGCCAGCCGGAAGTCCTTGCTGACTAGCGCGTAAATGAGTGGGTTGAGGGCCGAGTTGCAGTAGCCCAACCAGAAGAACACGGAAAAGAGCAAGTTGGGAATGCAGTGTTCGCAGAAAGCTCGAACCAAGTAGACGGTGAAGAAGGGCAGCCAGCAGCAGATGAAGCCGCCCACGATGGTGCCCACGGTCTTGGTCGCCTTGGCTTCGGTGCGGAACCGCTTGGCTTGCCAGCGTTGGCTGCGCTTGCTCGAGCGCGAGCTCTTGCTGCCTCCCGACGTCCCGTTGCGACCGCTGTTTCGAACACTGCCCCTCTTGGACTTGAAGGACGGCGGTGCCGAGCGCGTGGCCCGTTCGACGTCGGCCTGGCTGGCGCGCGACTTCTTACCCGACGAGCGGGCGCTCGCCGAGGGCTCGTCGCGGGACTTCTTGAGGCCGGGCCGTCTGCGCCCGGTCACGATGCCGTCTATGCAGGTCTCGGCGCCTACGTGTTCGCTGCCTCGCTTGACGTTCAGTCCGGAGTCGTTGCCGCGATGCACGCGCAGGGTGAGCCGCTGCTCTTGCGTGCGCCCTTTGATCTTTCCCGACTTGGTAGTGATGAAGCCTCGCTCTAAGGCACGACCCGTCTGGATGGCTGCGCGATAGATGCGGTAGTTGAAGAAGAGCATAAATAGCATCGGGATATAGAAGGAGCCCAGAGCGGAGTAGATGACGTATCCCTTGTTGTTGATGAGCACGCACTGCGCGGACTCGCACAGCGGCAGCGGGGCGTCGGCCACCGTGACGCTGCCATTGGTCGTCGCGTTGGAACTCAGGTAAGGCACGAGGTTTTCAGTCCCGTCGTTCCAGCCGACCAGAGGCGGGAAGCAGATGACGAAGGCGATCACCCAGACCGCCACGATGAGCAACTTGGCTCGTTTCGACGACATGAGACTGCGGTAGCGCACTGGCCGCGTGATGGCCAGGTAGCGGTCCACGCTGATGGCGCACAGGTTGAGGATGGACGACGTGCACAGCCACACGTCCACGGCAAGCCAGATCTGGCACCATGTGTGACCGAAGATCCACACTTCGAGTACTTCGAGCACGATCGAGTAGGGCAGCACTATGATCCCCACAGAGAGGTCGGCCACTGCCAGCGACACCACGAAGTAATTTGTGACGGTTCGTAGCTTGGTCGAGCATAGCACGGCAACCATGACTAGCAGGTTGCCGAAAATGACCAGGACGTTAATGAGTCCTAGGATGAGGAAGGTGACTAGCGTACCCGCCGCGTGCAGCTTCTCTGGAGGCACGTCCGAGATGCAGCCCGCCAGGTCACCACCACCACCGCTGGACGCCGTCGGGGACGCCTGCAAGCTCGAGTTCATCCTCGGGGACCACGGCGATGCGGCGTCCTGTCACTTGGGCTACCTCGCAGTGGCGTCGCCCTCGCGGATGCGTGCTCTAGCCACGGCCACGCTGGCGGCGATGCAAGCCGCCGTCGTCACTGCTCCCATTGCTACTCTCGGCATGGTGGACCTGCGAAGAGAACAGCCCCGCCATAGTTAGCCATCCTAGTCTCTTGTTGAACTGCACGTGTACTGAGTGTGTGCGAACACAGGATGCACCTGACGCCATAAGTAGAAACTCTGAACCTCACATCACAGCACTCTTCTTAATAGCACGGACGTCCTTAAGATGCGCTTGAGAAAGTCCTGCTTATTTCTATTAACTTTTCAGGCCTGGGCCAACAAGCAAACAGGTCTATACCCTAGTTGCACTAGCGCTCTTAACTGTCATTAAGCCAACAATCGTTGACATCTCCCAGCTGTCATTGAGCTGAACTAAGTTGTCCGGTGTTACAAGGTACATAGACCTAACAATCCCCAGTTGAGGTGCGCGTCAAGGGACACAGTTGAAACCGAAAAAAAAACTAACTTCATATATTACCATTTTTTTTTTAAATAGCGATGCAAATTAATCATATAGGCACGCTTTCATTCAATAAAACGTTAAAAACAAAATAAAATATTGTTGTTTTTTTTAGAGCAAAGGAACGAGAATCGGAACGTTTCACACGAATTCAAGCAGTAAAGACGCAACGAAAGTCTTTTCGGCACCGACATTACCATGGCCACCCTCGTAAAGCGTTGGCTTTCGCGACGTACCGGGGTCGTTCTAGCGGCAGCTCTCGTCCCGAATCATACCTCTTCCAACAATATTTGCTGCTATGATACTTTCCAGATACCTCCCCCAATCTTCCGCATTAGTAAGTGCTTCGCTGGCGCTGGCCATGGGCGGCGATGCGGTGACAGTCGCCATCTTTTGGTCTATTGGGGTGAATCACTGGGGTGAACCAAGGCGAACCCCCATAGTTCAACGTTGCGTCAGCTATACTGTCTCAACGTGGTTTCAACTTATGTTCTACCGCAGCGAAGGTTAAAAGCGCAAGCTCATAGCGTTGCCAGCTGGCCTTAATGCACGAGAGCTTGAGCCGGCGAGAACTGCCCCAGAGCAAGGAGCTCGCGCTTGTAGCCTTTCCTGCGGTACATCAGAAGGGGGAATAGGGTATAACTGAGATAGGCCAGCTCTTTTGAACCCAATGATCGTTAGCAGCTCAATGACAAGTGGCGCCGCCGTGTAACTCCAGCCGATCGCGATAGACGTATTGCTATATTACCCAAACATCAAGGAGAATGCAGGGATTGGTGTTCCACGCACCGCACGTGCTGGCCTCAGCGGTAGTATAACTTTCCTAAAGCAAATACCTAAAACAAATAGCACGCGCGTTCGTCAACGCTTTATTTTGGTTATTTAGTTCGAATCTTTTATACAGGGAAGGTGTGCGCGTGTGGGGCGCGTGGAACTGGGACCGGACATTTCATCGAACGCCGTTTCGTCGAACGCCGTTTCATCGAAGCCGTTTCATCGAATGCCGTTTTATCGAATGCCGTTTTATCGAACACCGTTTCATCGAAGCCTTTTCATCGAATGCCGTTTTATCGAACGCCGTCTTATCGAACGCCAGGGTGACATTCCCGCTTCCTGAAGCTGGTCGGAGGTGCTCATCCCGGGTTCTGGAAGTTTCTGACTTACATCGCCGCAGAACATCAACTTATGGAAGACAAGATGAAGGCGATGCTGAGTTCCCAAGAGCCTCCTCGCCAGAAGAAGGCCATAGCGGCAAGAAACGAGAAGGTCCGCCTTTTTTATGAGAACAGACGGAGCATGGCTGTGGGGGACTTTTTGAGAGCAATTGCTCATCATTTGAAACGGCGAATGGCTGTCGCCCGAACACATGAACCCCCGAAAGTTTTAAAATAAAATTTGAAGTGACGTACTTGCTTTTGACTTCATTGAGTCTTAGAACTAAAAAAAAAAAACCCAAAAAAACAATGTTTTGTTGTAGTTTTATTAATAGCACCTCAGCTTTAGCTACTGCAAGCTTCGGGCAGTAAAAAAAAAAGTATCAGTAGCAAGACATGAGAGGCTAGGAGGCTCACATGGCTAAAGTTGTTGAGCCTGCACAAAACCTAAGTCGCCTTCTGGCCTCCATGAGTTGGAGTGCGCTCTTACCGGGAGTGCGACTTTTTATTTATTTGTTACAACACCCTCAAGGCACATCGGGTAATACAGAAGAGGTGAACAGATAAGCACAATATGCGAAACAAACATAAAAATCGGTACAAATATCCTCATGGGTTACTTGCATCAAAATAAATTGTAACAGCTACAAGTTTGGACATCAATAAACCTGACTATGAAATGGGTGAATGACAGGAAAATGCACTCGATCCGCGCATAAAAGAGCATCTTTCACATTTTTTTTAATATAAAAGACATTCGACGAAACGGCCGTCAGCGAGTCGATGAAACGGCGTTCGATGAAACGGCGTTCGATGAAACGTCCATTTTTTCGATGAAACGGCGTTCGACGAAACGGCGTTCGATGAAATGTCCGGGAACCGCGTGGAACACCAATCCCTGCATTCTCCATGATGCTTGGGTAATATAGCAAACGGTCTATAGAGAGTATTCACTGGACGCCATATTTGTGGGTGCTGTTTAGAGCGCATGCTCAGAACGAGCTCACATCAATAGGCTGCTAAGACCGGCACTCTTGATGGTGCGGAATGCACGTTGCAAAAGAACTGTAGAAGCTCGCCGTCAGCACGCGCTCAGCATTCGCGCACACAGCTATGGCCGCCAGTGAATACTCCCTATTGAGTCAACTGTTGTTGGCTTAACGGCAGTTAGCAGCGCTAGTGTAACTAGGGTATAAATACAGTGGCGTAATATATGACTACAGTGAGTATTCACTGGCGGCCAGGCTGCGGGCTTTGCGGTGAGGCGCGTGGTGACAGCGAGTGCTCGCCGGATTCATTCCACACCGCCGAAACCGCTCTTCATAGATATGTTTATTTTACATTTCGTAATGTATCTCTGCATGACTGAGTGAGACACATGTCACATGTGTGCACGTATGACGTGAGATGTTTTAATGTGACGGGCAAATCTTTTGCGAGTGACTAAATAGACCTGGTGAGTCTGGGGCGAGGGGACAGAAAGGAACGAACGAACACGAGCTTTGTGTCTGTCCGTCCCTTTCTGCCCCCTCGCTCCTGGATTACCATGTCTATCCTTAACTAGCTCGCCTGCCTACTTGCTTTAACTTCGAATAAATCAAGGCTGTCAAAAATAGTCCTTGCATCTTTAATTGTTTTTATGCATCGCTATTTCTCAAGGTTTTGCGACCATCTTCTCCTTTGGTATTTTATAGTGTTTTTAGAAACGCCGTTTTGGATACCTCTTTTTTTTCACAAAGGATTTATGTATGCATAATGCTTTGTTATATCTTTACGCGTGAACGTTATTAGCTACCGTTTCAAGACTCCGAAAT